TGTGCCTCCTGCAACAATGAAAAGTAAGTGAGGTTATTAGGGACCCCTAAATCTGTTAAAAATAGAGTTGTGGGAATGGGGAGCACTAATTCCTCAAGTGCATCACTGAGACTGCTGGTAAGAAGGGCTACTTCTAAGTCCGCTCCTTGATTCCTAGATTGTGTTCAGGCTTTACGGGCCACAGCTTCATAGCATGGTTACCGTTCTGTAAGATTTTTGGATACTTTTGCTTGCTAATGCTCTGGGGGCAAGGAATGATAAACCATACCTAGAATATGTATCAAATCCGGTCAAGATGAATTACGCAATTTCCAGGATGGAAGGAATCCAATAGAATCAATTTGCCACCATGTGAATAGCTTATCTCATTGAGAGATGGTGTCATATCGGACCTCATTATTTCTTTCAGTTGGAGGTGGACATTGGGCAGTGGCAAGGGCTAGACAAGCTTTGGTGAGTGCTGGCCCATGTAGTCGGGCCGTGTGTAGCCGCCATGTCTGCTATTGTAGCTGCTCAATCCTTGCAGCCTTTATGCCTGCATTAGTGTGGTCAACCAGCTGAGTTGTTTTGTTCACTTGATTGTTTAGGAATTTTTCTACTGTGAATGCAATCCAGTGGTTATTACCATGTGACAACAATGACCTTCACACTTCTTGCCCACCCCACAATGTCTAATACAAGTCCCTTTCCTAGAGGTCCTCTGATCCTCCACTTTTTCTCTTACTCGGTCCTTGACTAACTAGTGAAGTCCTTTGGTTCAAGAATTTATACCTCCATATCTAGGGACACATTTTCCCATCAAAAGCAGATTATGAAGTATTGCACTTGAGGGTCTGCCGGTTAGAATAATTTCCCCCCCACTGCCATCTTTCAGGGCCACACTTCCAGGTCTATAGTACATTTGTCATCTATTTTCGGCATGCATGAACATATTGGGCTAATTCACCCATGAATCACATCCAACATTTCATTGCATTTGTTGGCTGGTTACCATAGATATTGGCAGAGAGTAAGGCACGATAGCAAGAATGATAGATGACATGGGTGTCCGGGCAGCCCCATTGATCAGCAAACTTGTGCACTACTCCTGCCTGATCTTGAAGATACTGTTTTTACCTAATAATGTCCAAGCTCATGAATTTCTGGGTCAAAGAGAAGTCAGCTCATGATGAGTGGTTATGGCCATGTAGTCACACAATGTCATGGCTTAGCTCAAGAAACATAGCACATCTACAATACATTCTAGTTCTTTTACTGAGATTGAACATAAAACTCACATGGCATTTTTTCCTATCACAGATAAATGTAGTATCAAGGGCAGTGTGACAGAACCTGTACCACATCCTTTGTATGCCCTAGGATCCACTCAAAACAGGCATCCCTTTTGTGTCACTTGGTAAATAAGTCAAAGTGATTTCATTCAGTGTGAAATATACTGCCTCTAGAACCCAAAGAGGGCTCTCAGGTTGTGCTTCTTTTTTAGCAGTGGGAGATGCAAGGAACAATAAATGATAGTTTATTTTGGAGCAGACATTCTGTCACACTCAGAACACTGGACTCCTAAAAACTCTAGTGTTGTAGGGTTTACCTCCCAACCTGGAGTGCATGTGTCTAACCAAGGCTTCCAATCTAATTTCTACTTATTGATTATCTGCTGTGATTAACATAATGTTATTAATATAGTGGAACAACATGATGTTATGCAGAATCTCTCAGTAGTAGAGATCACGTGAGACTTTATTGTATCAGATGACAAGAGAATAAACATAGCCCTGAAGGATAAATATAAATGTATACTGTTATTTATCCTGTATAAATGCAATGCGTTTCTGGCACTCATCCTTGGTGGGGGTGGAGAAGAGTACATTTGCTAGATCAATAACCTCATACTATGCATTTGAGGATTTTTCAATCTATTTTAGGAAAGATACCTCATTTGCATAGTATCTGCAATAGGATCTGTTGCATATTAGAGTGTGCAATAATTTATTGCCATCTTCCTATGTCCATCTGACTTTGTGGTAGAGTTACTAAATACGGATACAACTGGGATCATCTCCCTTCATCCTTTAGGATTTTAAATATGCCACTAATTTCTGCCCCTTGCCTCAGGATCAGGCCAAGACTAGGATGCATGTGCTTGAAAGTGAATGCTTTCTTAAATGTTGTGTCCTGTGTACTTCCCTGGCTTCATCATAGTCCTGGTTTTATTTAGGATACAATATTGTTTTTAATTTAAAATTTTGGCCTCCCCCACTGTGACAGCCTTTGCCACATATGCCAGCTAATCAGTGGAAGGTCCTGCCAACAACCATGTGTGTACCTGCTGACTCTAAATTTAAGGACCAAGGGAAAGATCACTGGGTGTGTCTATGGACCCGATGTAAGCTGGGCCTGAGCCAGAACTTTACTTATGACCCAGCCCATATACCATACTCTAATACAAGGACCATAATGATGTTTCTGATGTCTGGATTTTAATGTCAAATTGCGTTCATTGTTTAACACTTCTCAAAATTTCTTCATATTCTCCTTTCCCAAGTGAAAAATAGTCCATGTTTGTGATCTTAGGTCTCTAGAACCAAGGGACTGTATTACTTTATTTACTTTTGTAATATTACGTGGTCTTTCCAGCTGAGGCCACAATCTCTTCACCAATCAACATATAATGCTCCTGAAAATTGGCTCCATTCCCTAAACTGAGCAAAGGACTGTGATTTTATTACTAAGGTGATATTCCTTAGTCTCTTATTTTTCATTTCTTTTCATTGTATAGGTTGAACAATGCCCTTATTTCCTACCTATATTTGCTCCTGAAAAATACTATGCTCTGTTAACTCTGCACAGCTCTCTGTGAGGTAGCCTGCTCTGGCTGACATTCTGATGTTCATCATGATCTTTATGTCCACCTTACTGATGTTTTAGCACTGCAACCTGGCTCCTGTAATTTTGGTATCCTATCATTTCATTGCTATTAGGCAGCCGGGTTCCATAACAACACCTCATTTCATTAGCCCTGACAGTCATTATGAGTTTCTCAGTGATTCTGGGCTTCTCTCTCTAGCACATTCCTATTTCTTTGGAACAACGTCCAATGGCCATTTCACAGAACAAATCCAACTGGCCTGTCATAGTATATACACTCTCATATTTCCAATTCTCTGAGCCTTTTAATCCTTTCTTCCAACACCTACTTCAGCAGGTCTGGCATTTTCACCTCAGTTATTTTTAGCCATCTCCCTGTCAAAGCTTTGAAGAACTATTCTACCTGCACACTTGCACCAAGAGTCTTTTTTGGGTGTTAAATCCTGTATTTTGGGACTGTGCTCATATATCAGTAACATATTCTTGGCTATCTTTGTGCTCCTCTCCCTAGGTGAGGAATCTTCAGGATCCAGTCTCACATACTCTTCTGTCTACTGCCAGTGTAATCTGGCTGGGCTTAGTAGCTCCTACAGCTCTGTGGAGCTAATGAAGGCTTTCCTGACTAGTTTATGTTGTGGCTTAATCCTATCTGTTATCTTGTGGCCAGTAGGGATGGCGAGGGTAGAGTCTTAAAGGAGATTTACATTGCCTTGCAAGTCAGAGACCTCTTATTTTTCTTCAAACCATGGGAACGCTAGTTTCTGAAAGGTTCCACTTCTGCAGGCCCCGTTTAGGGATTTGTAGGGATTCAAAATTTAAGAATTTATCTATCCAGATAACCCTATCCCAATTCTCAGGGTCTTACCACTCCTTAATTTGTGAGTTTATCTACCCAAAATATCTGATCTTTATTCTTAAGGTCTTGCTACTCCTTTGTAGTCAGAGCTCTGCCTGACAGAGGAGACATAAGATTTTTGAGAATCCAACCTTCTCTGGACTTCTGTTTCCCATGTAACTGTGTATTGCACTTGATCCTCGGAGATTTTTCCATCCTCTGATTGCAAAACCAATCACCCTTATCTTTAAACTGGTGATTAATAGCCCCTAGCATTCCATTCATTGTCTTTCTTCAATACATTGATGAACTCTGCACATAGCCATCCAATTTCTATTGTCCCATAATGACTGCTTTCTTGTACCTCTCAAATACCGGGGCTATTGAACTGTTGGTGCTCTTCCTTTCACAGTTATCCCATCCCATTTCACTACTGGTCAAAGTTAAACACACGTACTGCAAAGGGGCTAGCAGTACTCCATCTTTCATCAACGATGGAGTTTTTACCACCAGCCAGTGGATGATCGTCCTCCAAAATATCATTTTAGAATGTTCAGTTTGACCACTTACATCTCTAAGTGTTAAGTCAGGTTTCCTGGAAAATAGACTCTGAGATACAGATGGGAATGCTGGGGTTTTATTTGGAAGTAAGGGATGTAGGAACAGAAACGGGTGAAAGGTGAACTATAATCCAGTCATAATAGAGGCTTCAGCTAATCAAATAGAGTGCTATAAATTTGAGATGCCCCTTCAAAGATATCCCTAATTAAGGCAAGAGCCATACCTTTGTATCTTTACATTGATTTGTCCTTAGAGGTGAGAGGGAGGTGCCATGGAGAGAAGATGGGCAAAGCAACTCTCTTTGGGCAAGGATAGTTTCTTGGGAGAAATTCTGCTGATATCCACCAGCAGCAATATTCCCTGCAGTTGGGTTAGTGGATTCCTTAGTCCTAAAGGGGCGATCTCCGGGACACACCACCAATGTATGGTACTAATTACCTTACAGTTTCTCTCCCTGCTTCTCAGGAAATTTCATGTTTAGTTGAGAATAGCAAGAAGGTGTAACAGAGAAAAAGAGGCAAAATGTGGTTAATATTAAAATAGTTTAACTGTTTTCAGAATAGTGATTGTTCTGCATATTTTAATGTTCAAGGGAAAGATAGAATGTGGTACAGTGCACTGAGTTTTTGAATTCTAGAAACCTAGGTTTAATCCCTTCTAGCTACTTTGGGCAAGTAACTTTGTATCTATGTCTCACTTTTGTCCTCTATGTAAAATTGTATTCGTACCTCTCTTGAAGAATTGGGAAATTTGCCTGTATCTTAAAACCTCTGTTTCAAAGTTTCCTGCTATGCTGGTAGGAGAAACTTAATAAATTGGATTCCTTTCCTGCTTCTACCACCAAGCAGCTAATCAACTAGCAGTAGGGATGGGTTTGGATAGAGCCATCTACTCCCTCTAAACAAAATACTCAGAGAGATATGTAGATGGCTGGCCTTGACTATGTGTTATGTACCTTTTCTGATTGTAAAATAGGTTTTTGTCTATATGAAGTCTGGGAAGTCTCACTCCACAATTTCAGATTCATTACTTGTATGTTCAATGAATCACCTGTGCCCACCCAAAAGTAGGGGACAATCTGGACGCAGAAAAAAAAATATTGATGTGTGTGCACTTTTTCACATGTTAAATACTCTCAGTAAAAGTCCGTACAACTTTAATAATCAAGAAAAATGCAGATATGTATTACAATTTCAGAACCACCAATGACTGGAGTTAATCATAGGGATCAATGCATGCTAAAGAGGACTGACCCGATGTTGGATCTCTACCAGATGTTCAGGGAAAAACAACTGTTTTCTGAACAGGTCACGCCTGTTTTATTAGCAAAAATAGGAGCCTTTAGGTGATCACACAGAAATTAAACAGTTAAGGATAAGTGACCTAAGAGGACTTAACCATTTAATCCTAACTAAAGACCAAAGGGAATGCAGTCTAAAAACATGATTACAAGCAGAATTGTGGGTTAATGACCTTGTACTTTTTAATTTAATGGAGCACACGTAGTCCGGGGCTGGAAGTAAGGAATTATAGGAAATAAATACATATACTGGAATTTTATGAATAAATTATTGTAGCACTAATCACAATTAAATTGCCTTATTTTAATATGATTTAGTAATTAAGCCACAAGTGGCTTGCTGCCTGGTTTTTGCCTGAACAGGAACCAAGTGAAAGTATTTGACTCAGCTAAAATATTTGTGAATATATTTTCAAACTTTTAATTTTCAGTAAGTGGACATTGATAGGAATATTAACAATATGCAAAAGAATTACTTTGTTCTTTTTGTTTTTCCCTTTTAGGATATGCATCTGTATAGGAAAAGCATCACAATAATAAGCTGGGTAAGCCTCGGCTCTCTTGCATTCAAGAAACACCGTCATTGCTGACTTAGTTCTCTCCCCAAGAGGAAAATTGTTTCCAAATCATTCAGTTTCACCTGCCATCTATTCCACAATACTAAATTAGGGCAGCTCTGGTCAGAAATGAAATAACAACTGTCCCTTTGATCTAGATATGCGTAAACCTCTCTTGGTTTCAACCAGCTCAGTTGCCTTCCTTCTGTGTACGCACAGGAGGCTGTGAGCTAGATCACAGCTAGATCAAGGGGACAGTTGTGATTTCATCTGTGTAGCACTGTTCTTACCACAGTCCAGTCACCTGCACATGATTCTGCTGCTGGTCCAGATCACATTCATCTTGTATCCCCGGATGCTGTAATGCATTAGGTGCTCAATAAATATTAATCCATTGAAGGAAAGGAAGAAGAAAGAAAAGAAGGAAGGAAGGAAAGATTAAATGGGATTTAATGTATAGTTAGGTAAAATAGCTGCTTGTCTATTTGTATTGATATTCATTAAAAAAATTCTTAGCTTTTGCCTTGAGCAGATATCTATAAGAAATAAAAAAGAGATAGAAACCTATACACAATTACAGTAGCAAGGAGCAGGGAAACAGACAACATTAAAAAATTGTCTATTCTCATAAAACTTAGAGCTTATAAAACTTATATACACAAAACAAGCAAATGAACAGACAATAACAACAAAAGAACAGTACAATAACAAAATTACTTGTCAGGCACTGCAGTGGTAAACATTAATTTTTTTTTTCTCTCTGTAAGCCTATGCAATAGATGCTGTTGTCATTATCATTTTAGAGATAACGAAACAGGTAAAAAGAACTTAAGAAACTTCTTTAAGGCCTCTCACAATATAAGAGATGGAGCCCATTATTTATTTATTTATTTATTTTTTGAGACGGAGTCTTGCTCTGTTGCCAGGCTGGAGTTCAGTGGCACAATCTCGGCTCACTGCAACCTCCGCCTTCTGGGTTCAAGCAATTCTTCCACCTCAGCCTCCCGAGTAGCTGGGACCACAGGCACTTGCCACCATGCCTGGCTATTTTTTGTATTTTTAGTAGAGATAGGGTTTCACCATGTTGTCCAGGATGGTCTGGATCTCTTGATCTCGTGATCCACCAGCCTCGGCCTCCCAAAGTGCTGGGATTACAGGCGTGGAGCCCATTTTTTAACCAAGACAGCCTGGTTTCAGAACCCATGCACCAACTGCTTCATAATATAATTGTCAAAATCATAAATATTGTATGTTCAAAGAAGGAAGAGGTCATTGAATATTAATAACTGTGGTGACCAGAGAAAGTTTCACAAAAATGTCAAGAACTGTAAAGAGTCTGAAATTTTACCCTGTTGGCAAGCTATCAAGTAACTAGTCAGAGTTTAATTTAGGATACCAGGATAAGATAGGAAACTTCTGGGTCAAAGATGATGGACAATTTATTTCTCATAGCAATTGCAGATGCCAGAACACTAGCATTTACACTGGTTACTCGATCCCCGACATTCTCAGGTCTATACTTCAGCAGAAGATCCCTAAGGTTAGATAATGAAATTTTTAAACAGAGCACTGTAGGAAAATTGACCCTCTTGTGTCAGAGACAGACAGTATTCTCATAGTCCAAGGGTGTAGGTAAACTACTGTTTGCCGTTTCTTTCAAAACTGTTCATTATACAAGCATCCCTGAAATTTGAAAATATTGATATAATCTGATATAATTCCAAAGATTCTTTATAGATAAACATACTGAAATTTGATAAAAACCATTGTCAAAGAGCAATGAAAGGAAGTTACTGTAAACATTGTATAAATTATTTATAAAAATAATTATGCAATTACTAGTCATTTAAATCCAGTAATTCTAGTATGGGAATAAATACTAAGGAATTGATTCTGAACTTCAGAAAGCCTTTGTACATAAAGGCATTCAGTGAAGTCTGTAGTAAAACTGAAAGTGATAAAGTATTTATTTGTAGCTCCATTGGAGTATCATTATTGTATTTTACCTGTCTAAATAACGTTTGGAAATGTTTACAAGTTTTATTTAAGTATAAAATTCTGTTTCTCCAACTTGTTCTTAAATATGTCAACATATAAGAAATATAGTATTTTATTTTTTCTTCTTACATTCATATCATATTTTCTTAATTTTCTGCAGTGGTATATATTAGTTGCAGGGTTAAAAATAATAACAAGAAATTCCAAAGACTTTCACTTTAAACACACATTTAGCACACACTTCTTGGCATTGTGCCAGATATTTCAAGGTATTAAAGGGAAAACATGACATACCACTTGAGGTTAAGTAATTCACAATTTAGTAAATACAAACAAAGATAAACTACTACTAAGAGTAGAATGATACAAATTTTCAAATAAGTTGAAAGTACCATGATTTGGCAGACAAGTGTAAGGAGCTGATTGTTCAAGGGAAAAGCAGATGCTTCATGCAGGAGACATTTATTTGTCCTGGGCCTTAAAGAGCTTCTTCTGCCTGCAATGTCCTGGGGTAGGGTCATCCGGGAGCTCTGAGGGTCTCCAATCTTGATATAATAAACGAAGGGAGTGCCAGTTCAAAGTAAGGTTTAATGAAATAAAAAATTATCTACCTACTTGGAGAACAAACATAATTATTTATGCTAGGATACAGAAAAAGAGAGAGGAATTGCAAGGAGACTAGGCCCAGGGAGGGAGAGTTGGCAGAGGAAAAACAGGTTATGATTTGTAGACAAAGATGGCAGTTCACATTGTCCCCCGGGGGAAAAATCAGTATGAGTATCAAATAGAATAGCTATTTCTTTAACCAGAGTGAAGGGGTGGAATTAGATACATCAAAGACAACATCCAATTTTGGGGATGGGAGTAATTTTCCATAATGAGTGAATTTGGAGGAGAATAGAGGAGGGGCAGATAAAACGTTTTAGAGATTCTGAGATGTTCAACAAAAAACGGCCTGCTATCCTACTGGATCTGAATGAATTGAGGATAGACTCATACATTGGTTTTCTTGGCTAAGTGTCCACTTAGAGTATAACATTTGGTTTTTCCCCAGGTCTGCCAAATAGTCTTCCTAACGAGAGTTGAGAAAGAGTTAGATACAATGTGCCTCTGTCTTTTCTTGCTTAGCGATACACTAAATTTGGGAATGGTAGGAAGATGTGGGTTCTAATTTGGAGTCACAGGCCTTGGTATTTGCCCATTTTCCCCTTTGAAGAAGTTTCATAAGGAATATTTTCTTCATGTTCTGGTATTTAAATTGTCTGTGTCTGATTGCTTTAAGCAACTGTGACTCCAGGGACCAAGAACAGAAACACTTGAGCATTCATCTCGTTTTATCATAGTAAAATCCCCATTCAGAGGAAATGAGTTGTCCCCAGGTGAAAGTTGGAATCAATAGCCATTCTGTGCACCACCATTTTAGTGAACAAGATATTTTATTAAATTAGGGTAGTGGATGATGGAGATGTCCTTGGATCTTATCAATAATGAATAAGCTGTTGTTTAAAGAAAACAATATGGGCCCTCTCTTGGCAGATCTCAGGCTATGTCTCTGTAGGGACAGACTTTCTGAGTAATCTGATGATCAGATTTGGCTTTGCTGTTCCAGGCGCCAATCTAATGAAATTACAATCTTCTGTGCTCAGCCTGACTCACTGAGGAGGACAGCTCCCTTCAAAGAAGGCCTTCAGGTGACCTGCAGGAAGCCCTTGGGGAAAAATGGAGCTAAAGAAGACAAGGCTTATACAGAGCTGAGTAAAATATGGCAGTAACCTACGAGTTCTGGATAGATAAAGTTTTTTAACTGCTATATGTGAACATTATTATTACTAATTACAAATATTAATAACAGTGATTTCAATGTTTTCATTGTATTAACCATGATTTAATGCATATTCCCTGAATGCCAGATGCAGTGCACAGTAACATATTTTATTTATCCTGCAGCAACCTCATGAGAAAGATGCTGTTACCACCATCATTTGTTTGGATGAGAAAATTGAAGCTCGGGAAATTAGGAACTATGCAAGGCACTATGATGAGGAATTGGTGGAACCAGCATTGAAGTCCAGGTTTGTTTTATGCTGAAGCTTATAATCCTAATATTATACAAAAGCCTGTTAGTTCCTTCATTTACCATCCCTTATTAATTAGTCATACTGGAACCTGAGCCAGGTAAACTCATTTCTTTCCAAAAAGGAGTACCCTATCCTATGACAGAAAGGAAAAAATCAGCAGCTGGTTATTGGTAAGATTTGGTAGAAGATCAGAATTTCACTGGTCTAACAATCTGTTTTCTACTCTACCTGTTTTCTATAGGCCTGAGATTCCTGTGAGTTGCCACAAAACGACTGTGTTCAATTTTCACCTTGTAATGTTTAAGAGGATACAGGGGCAGTGACAGAAGAAGACAACTCTTCACCATCAACAGAGCTAAACTGCTTCTTAGGAATATTTCCTGACATCACATAGTATCTGACAAATTTGAAACAAGACAAAACATTAAGGAGAAAAGAAGAGTGAAAAAAAATCCTCTATTAAATAAAATGTAAATGTGAGAAGGGTAAATTTGTTGCTTCTTTAATTTCCCAGAAAGCCAAGACATTGCTCAGTTGGTTAAGGGGAAATCTCCTCTCCTGTTACTCTTAAGGTTGGGACATACTATTTATATAATATACAAATTTCTATCTAATAAAAGCAATAAAAACAGTAAAGTCTGTTGAGCATTTTGACATATATTATCCTGTTTTGCTCTTACAAAAACATGTGAGAGGGTATTTTCATCTTCATTTTCAGCATGAGGACATTAAGGCTAAAACAGCAAATGTTTTCACCTAATGTCATACAATTCAACATTAGCAGAGCCAGCTCCAGATTAGATCTTCGGTTACAAATATTCTTTACATTGTATGTTCTTTATGGAAACTGAGAAAGATAGAAAGAAGTCAATCATGAAGGTAAGATAGAAAAAGATATTAACTTTGACTCTTTTTTGCTGGGACCTTTTTCCTGCTTATATCCAGCTCTTGGGATTTGAAATAAAAAAGATTATGTGTACCTAATTGTGGCCATTTCAAAACATGGACACCCATTCCTCAATATCCCTTTCATTAAGAGGTGAGATCTATACTGTGAACTACGGATGTATTTATATAAGCTTTTACCAATTGAGTATGGCAGAGGGGCATTGTGTGACTTTCATGTGTAGACCACATAAAACATACAATGACTTCCTTATTCACTGACAGTGTCACGCTTAGGGCCATGAGCCACCACATAAAGTCTGTCTATTCTGATGCTTCCATGCTGAAAAGGTCATAGGTAGGGTCTCCTGACCACAGTTGTGCTGAACCCAACCTTCCAGCCATCCTCAGCAAGGTGTCAGGCCTATGAATAAAACCATTACGGACTCTCTAGACCACTGTGTCTGCCAGCTGTATACCAGAGGTGACTTTTGTCAATGCAACATGGAACAAAAGAATCTCTCAGCCAATGTCTGTCTAAATTCTTTTTTTGTTATTTTCTTTTTTGGATATGGAGTCTTGCTCTGTTGTACAGGATGGAGTGCAGTGGCATGATCTCAGCTCACTGCAACCTCCACCTCTCAGGTTTAAGCAATTCTGCCTCAGCCTCCTGAGTAGCTAAAACCACAGGCACACACCACCATGCTTGGCTAATTTTTTTGTATTTTAGTAGAGACAAGATGAAGTTTCACCATGTTGCCAAGGCTGGTCTCGAACTCCTGAGCTCAGACAATCCGCCCACCTCGGCCTCCCAAAGTGCTAGAATGACAGGCGTGAGCCACTGTGCCCAGCTGCCTGTCTAAATTCTTGATCCACTAAGGTGTGAGGTCTAATAAAGTGGTTGTCATTTTACACTACTAAAATTTCAAGTAGCAGTGATAGGTAACTGGAACAGTGTACACCTGTGTGTTTGTGCTGGGATACAGGGATACAGGCAATTCTAATGGCCTTGCCCCAGACATACAAATTAGCTAACAGGGTGCTAAGGGCAGATTATCATCTTGATTTTAGAATGTGGCTCAGAGCCATCCTTGGTTTCTTTTTCTCATCCATCTTAGCTGCCTGAGGACATAGTGGCCTGAGTGGTTTTCAGATCACCTCATTGAGAAGGCTTGGGTCTTGGTAGAGATAAAGAAGTATACCTTTCTTACTATTAGAATTTTAAAAGTTTTTATTTTTATTTCTTTTTCAATTACCCAGCAGTCAGAAAAAGCATGTTATTAAATTCTGCCTTCAATTGAGATGGCTTAACAGGACAGATTTTTATTTTATTTTTTTCAGTGAAAATGACAGATGCCATGTTTTTCACTACATAGTGTTCCATTTAAAAAGGAGAGGAATTTAGAGATTTTTGGCAGGGCCAGATAATAATTACTATTATTATTATTGATAATGCCAAATTATCATTATCATCATCATCAGCAGCAGCATCAAATGTCCCAAATAAATTAATCATCAGAAGAAAACAATAAGCCATATAATCACATTTCCTGCTTGTAACAGTGATAATTGCTCCGGAATAAAATCTAGGCTTTGATGATGGCCAATCATTGCTAGTTAGTCTAAATTTCAGAGAAACAACTCTAAATCTCCTTATACTAGGCAAACCAGCTTGAAGCTGAGTAGAAAACACACACACACACACACACTCTCTCTCTCTCTCTCTCTTCTCTCTCTCTCTCTCCATAGTGGCAGCTTTTCTTTGATGGTGATGAAAGCTGACATATGGCATAGGTCCCATGAGACAAATATTTGAAAACTCGATCTGTGCCTTTAAATTGCCTCTGCACATAAGAAACTTAAACCTATGTAGGGAGACCACTCTTAGACAAATGTCTTAGGCTCGCTCATACTCCTATCACAGAATATCTGAGACTGGGTAATTTATAAAGAACAGAGGTTTGCTTGGCCTCTGATTCTAGTGGCTGGAAGGTTTAAGATTGTACAGCCTAGTGAGGGCTGTGAGAATCTAGTGAGGGCCTCAGGCTGCTTCAGTTCATGGCGGAAAGTGAAAGTGGAGTTGCTGTGTGCAAAGAGATCACATGGCAGGAGAGGAACCAAGAGAGGACAAACCAAGAATGCCAGATTCTTTTTGTTTTTGTTTCTGTTTTTTGAGATGGAGTTTCACTCTTGTCGCCCAGGTTGGAGTGCAATGGCACAATCTTTGCTCACTTCAGCCCCTGCCTCCCGGATGCAAGCAATTGTCCTGCCTCAGCCTCCCAAGTAACTGGGATTACAGGCACCATCACCACACCTGGCTAATTTTTGTATTTTTAGTAGAGACAAGGTTTCATCATGTTGGCCAGGCTGGTCTCGAACTCCTGACCTCAGTCCTCCTGCCTCTGCCTCCCAAAGTGCTGGGATTACAGACATGAACCACCACACCTGGCCTCAGATTCCTTTTTCACAATTCATTCTCTTGCAAATGAATACATTTCTCTAGAAGAAGAACTTACCCCTTGGGAGAAAGGGCTTCATCTATTCATAGAAAATCTACCCTCATGACCCAGATACCTCTTACTAGGTCCCCCACCTCTCAACTCTGCTACATTGGGGGTCAAATTTCAAGGTGAGCTTTGTTCAGGACAAACCACATCCAAACATGTGAGAAGTGGGGAATCAGACTCATGATTTCTTATATACTGGAAATGCAATCAGTTTTAGGTGCTTTGTCTTGGTCTACAGCACAGCCCAATATAGTGTGGGTCATAAGAAAATAGGTTTCATATTCTAGCTTTAATTCCCATCTTGGCCCCCTCATTTCTGAGTTATCTTAGATATATTTTATCTCTCTAAAACTTCATATTACTCTCTGTAAAATGAGGACAATGATATGAGCTGCCATATGGCATCTTTTTAGAAAAGTAAAAGGGTTTAATGCAGGAGAAGAACTAACCGCAGTGCCTGACTTAAGTAAATGTTTCATATATGTCAGGCAAACAAAGATAAAATGGCAAGGCTGGATATGATCAGGTGGAGCACAGGAATTCCTGTGAGAAGCTACAGTTTAGGGTTATGCCAGGCCAGAGCAAAAGAGGCCGTCTGGAATTTGATTGCTAATCTACACGGGCTACTCAAGAGGAGGAAACAGGCTAGAGGCATCTGCAGCAGAGGGGACCAGATGACAAGGAAGGTTTTAAGCAGATGGTGGGATGTAGAGCCTGGAATCATTTCAGACATGACATGTAATTTGGCTAAGGGCACTTCAGGTCCTCTGGCAATTGATCCTAGTAAGGCTAGAGTTTTTTTAGGGGTAGCAGTGGAAGGGGCATCAAAAACTAAAGATAGTCAGATTTATTTTTCAAAAATTTAATAGAAATCTCCATCTTTAACCTATGACTCATTTCTTCTTTTGTTTTTATTTTATCTTGTTTATTTTTAGAGACAGGGTCTTGCTCTGTCACCTGGGCTAGAGTGCAGTGGTGCAATCAAAACTCACTAAAGCCTCAAACTCTTGGGCTCAAGCGATCCTCCTGCCTAAGCCTCTTGAGTAGCTGGGACTACAGGCACCCACCACCATGCTTAGCTAATGTTTTTGGGTTTTGCAGAGATGGGATCTTGCTTCGCTACCCAGACTGGTCTCAAACTCCTGGCTTCAAGCATTCTTCTTGCCTTGGCCTCCCAAGGTGCTTAGATTATAGGCATGACCTTTTATTTGTTTCTCTTCAGGCTTCATCCTTGAAATAGGACTTGCCTATTATGGCCTTTGTCATGGATTGGATCTATTAAGAGATGCTTTCTTAGTGTAATATGAGCCAGAGAGTCTGGAAGGTGCATTAACTTTATTTCAGGAAACTACCAATCTATGCCCATTAATGTCGGCTCCCAATTCTCATAACCTTAGAGTGCATGTCCATATGCCCCAATCCCACCTCTTCTTCCAACAAACCTATGAAGAAATTGGCTCTAGCTAAATATAATTGAAGAAAATACCTGAGTGGAATGTCTTGCTTGGAAAGATGACTAAGTCGTTGGGACCCCTGAAGTTGAGAATTTGAAGAAGGAGCCTTGGCGGGAAAATCTTAAGTAGATGTACGAGGTCCTCTAATGTCAAGATTGAGGCTCACAGTATCAGACCATATGCACACAGAGTTACAAAGAATTAGAGTCCCAGAGGAAGCATGTGAAGGAAATGGAAGGAAGCAGGTGAGGAGAGAGATCCAGAAAAGCCATGCGCAAAACAGATGAAGCTTAGAGGAGTTCACGTCTTGCACTTCCTGGGGTGTGGCATTCAACCTTCCTTGTGTTCTTGCCAACCACCCTCTTCAGTTGAGCTAGTTTTTCTTCCTGGCCACAAAATAAGTTCTGATGACAAAAAGAAGCCTTGTTTTCCCATTGAACACATAGTTTGAGGTGCAAACATGCCATTTTTTTTTCCAAGAAGGGTCAGTGCACAGTGATTGATGCTCTGAGAATGATTTAGGGAAATCATATGCAATGACATTCTACAACAGGCTGAGAAGCCATAAAGAAGCCACCTTGTTTCCACTTCATCTAAAAGATGACACAGCACCTCTTCTTGGGAAACCTTTCCTGAGGTAGAGC